ATACTACATAAAATCTTGAATGACTGCAACATCCGACTTCTGTTGGGAGGTCACAAACATGCTACAAGTTTTTTAAAACATGAATTTTTGAGAAATGTTTCTGTAAATATTCGTTGGACCGCCAAGAACCTGGGGGTTTTAAACTAAGGGTAGACTTAATTCTGTCTTCTCAGGATTATGAGTTCAATGTTATTTCGGAAACTCAAAAGAATTTTAATTTGAATCAGAAGAAGGCTGACGGAGAGGGATGAAAATTCCAGACAACTACCTTTTCTCTAGGCTACAGTTACAGTTGACACCTTTTCGCTGAAAGGACTGTCCAACGGAACCGAAGAGCTCTTTTGTTTTTCGGTCCCAAACTGGGCTCAATGTAAATGCTAAGTGGCATCCCCCCTGCCTTTAGGAAATTTAAGAAAACGAGTTGGGGGTCTGAGAAAAAGAGGAGGGCAGGAAAATCTCGACCGAACAGCCAAATGAAGGAGAGTCGGTGAGCACAAAAAAGACCCAGAAACCTCGCAGAGTTCGCAATTTCCGACCGCCCCGGTGAGTCACCGCCGGACACGGCGACGCGCACGTAGCGTTTCGCTCGGTACGAAGCGGTCGGCTTCGGGGGTGCATCCCGGCCCGCAAACGCCCGCAAACGCTCGCGGGGGCTGTGCCAGGGCCCCGGGTGGGGAGACCTGCGCGCAAGGAGGGCAGGATGAACGGCAGAGGCCCGGAAGGAAGGTTCTGGGGGTAGGACGGGCCAGCGGACGAACCACCCCAGGCGAGGGCCGGGCCCGGCTTAGCCCCCCAGCTCGGGTTCCGCGGACCCGGCGACCGGCGCGGACACTCACCCCGGCGGTCCCTGGCGCCGCGGGCCGCCGCCCTGCAGCGCAGACGGAGCCGGCACAGCGGGGACCAGCTGCTTCTGTGGGTCGCGGCGGCGGCGGCCAAGCCCGGCAACATCCTGGCGGGGCAGAGGCCCCCACTCGAACGCCGCCTCCTGCCTCCGCGCCGCCCCCGGCACCAGCTGACTCCATAGACCGGACAGCGGCGAGTGTTGCTGCCTGCGCCGCCGCGGGCGGCCTCGGCGACCCGGAAGCGGCAACGTCACTCAGCGCCGCCCGCGGGGTAGGCAGCGGAAATGACGTAGCGCGCTGAGCCGGAATAGCGAGATCCTCCTGCCCACGGACCCGGACCCGCCTGGGGAGGGCGTGGCTGCGGCGAAGTTTGGCGGCGCCCTGACTTCGCTGGCACTTCCACCTTTGCGCTTGCTTGGACGTCACCACGTCGCCTGTTGGCATCTGAGCAACAGCCTGTACAGGGGCTCTGCCCGCCTTCCTTCTTCTGGCCTCGAGGCCCGGGCCGCGGTGTCGGCAATGGGAGGAACGGTGGGAAGAAGGACGCGGGTCTCCTGAGCCTCGCCGGCAGCCCTCTCGCGTAGACCCAGCGGAGGCCGACGTGTCCTCAGTAGTCCCCGAACCTCCACCCCGGTAACATCGTCCTCGTAACACCACTGTGTACCCAGTACCGTAAAGGCAAGTACACACTTTGAAATCAAGTACTTGCCCTACTGATAATCTCTGAACGTCAGATTCTCGACTGTAATATAATAAAATAAGAGGTTTTTTAATGATCATGATATGTCGGTAAACGGAGGTGTGGAGACTGCAACAATCTGGTCCCGGGGAGAAAGAAGCCGGAACAATACGCAAACCTGGATGGCTAGATGGCGTGACCTGTTGCTCCCAGACTACAAACCTGTGCAGCATGTTACTGCACTGAATACTGTCGGCAGCTGTAACACAGTGATCTACACACGTAAACACAGCAAAGGTACACTAAAATATGGCATAAAAGTAAAAAAGGGTACATCAGCATAGGGCACTTATGCGAATAGAGTTTTCCGGACTGGAAGTTGCTCTGCGTGAGTGGGGAGTGAAGGCCTAGGACGTTACTGTACCCTACTGTAGACTGTATAAAC